TTTGCTCTCCCTGTCCATCCACATATGACTATCTAATATCCAGATATAGTTCCTGTTAAATTTGCTGCACAATTCACAAGTTAAACCTTAACACAGATTCCAGGTTAATCAAGCATTCTTCTCCTATTCGGTAATGTTTCCCTCTCACGTCATTCGTTAATTCTGTGCAATATACATTCCATTCTTGCTTAATTTTCAACTTTCCTTCCTCATATTTAGGATTTTATCTCTAATGTTATCTTTGACTAAATCCTTAACCTTCCGCTAAGCTATGAAGTCTCCATATTTTGCAAAACGTTGGGTTTCATACAACAATAAATATATCTGTGACAAACTTTTCTGAACATAAAATGGATATTGCAAGGCAAAGTTTACGCCAGTTTGCAGGATAATTTATGCAATAAAGAAGTTAAAGTTGCATGCTTATGCATTGTGAAAGTATGCGATTTTTGGATTAATAATGAAATAAGTTCTCGAGGATGTTGGACAGCCTTACTCAATTCGAGTACGTAAACGTGTAGAGAGAGAAAAATGCTGTCAAATAAAGAAGAAGTCGATTAGTTAAAAAAGCATTAGCGATAAAGGGACCCTAAGTCATAAAATGAGAAAAAGAATGAAAGTAAGTTGTGAAAATTGCAGGAAATAGGAGGCTCTGAAACCATGCCGCAGAAACAAGACAAGGTTAGTCCTGTGTGAAATCTGTTCCATCCCTTTCAAAAAAACCTATAAAAACTTGTGCATAAGTGATAGGATCTCATTTTCGTAACTTGGTCGTGTTGTCAGAGAGAGCTTGATAAAGGTATCTTTTCCGGAGTATTCTGTCAAAGTATCGATAATAATTACAAGGTTCGGACCGTTGAGTAGGTATAGTTCCACGGTTCGATGCTGGAAATTATCAGGGATATTAAAGCAGAAGACCTTGGAGAAGAGGTGTTTATCTAGATCTCTTTGATAACCCGAGCAAATTGCGAAAATGTGATCACGCCCCTTCTATACAACGAAGGGAGACCGCGATCACAATAAAGGCCACGCAATATTGGTATATTATTGGTCTATATTCAGGATTTAACTGTAATAACTTGGCTTAGACACCTGAATGTCGCCAGAATTGGCAAGGAATCTTCGATAAAGCTGTAAAAAGTAATAAAATATCTAATGTGATTAGGCAAGAGAGAAGTATTCACATGGCCATTCTTGAGTAAAGAAATGGCTTCGCAAAAGCTGGACGCCCATAGTAGGAAAATAGAGGATAGGCATGGCAACATACTAAAGCAAATACTCACGAATATTAAAGTCACTAAGCTGAAGAGAACGTGATTCTAGATGCAGTAGTGCCAATTTGCATACAAAGTTGAGAAAGGATACCGTGCATAGGAGACAATCTCACAAAAAATCAAGGAAAAGATTTGTAACTATAGCTCAAAATGCCCTTCAATAGATCTCATTTTCCACCCTGACCTGTGGCAAGACCAACACACCTGAGTGACTCCCTTACAGCAATTAACACTCAAAAGAATTGAACAAGTAGCTTTGATTAAAAGCAACCTTTCGGCATCTTTTTGTTTACACTAGACCTCTGATGTTCTTGACAAACGGTATTGATACTAGTGTTCGTGATCCGCACTGCTAGCATAAGCAGTGTACAATAGCAAAACAAGTGTAAAGAAGAAGTCTTCCGAAGACAACTGATTCTCATTCAATAGATGTAGGACTCACTACCAAATAACTCAGAGCTGGCATGGTAATACAGACTAACAATGCGCTCTACATTCCGATGTAGAGGTTTCTAGTAAGGAACTACTATGCAATAAAACTGATCAAAGCAAATCTCGCGTAGGGAGAAAAACAGACGAGAATGGCATACCTAACTAAGTCATAAGCTCGGACAGTGCCGTCGAGGCTGCATGATACCACGACCTTCGGCTTTTGGCGAGGGAAAGCAACACAGGTTACTGGAGCACGATGTTCAGAAAATGTGACCAGGGCTCGGCCTCCGGCCACACGCCATACTTTAACCCGGCAGTCGCGGCCTCCAGTGGCTATATGTAGGCCATCTGGCGAATAGGCCAGACTTGTTGCCATAGATTCAGCTGCATGCGATTCAGCTCGCAGATGACAGGAGCGTGATCGCCAGTCCCAAACGACCAGTTGGCCGTTTTTCTCGCCACCTACACCGATCCAGTCTCCGCTGCCCGGACTAATCGCTAGGCTGGATACAGGATTATGCAAAATCCTATGTA